ACACACACACACACACACACACACACACACACACACACACACACACACACACACACACACACACCCACACACCCACACACCCACACACACACACACACACACACACACACACACACACACTAGTTAAGGTCAGACAGGGTTCCTACTGGTTAGGGCAAGTTAGATTGAAGACATTAATACTTTTAGGACCTATTTTATTTGATGTGTTAATGTCATTCCAAGATGCATTTTCTATAATTGATGTTACCAATTATTTTGAGATTTTAAAAGACTTGAGAAAAAATTGGTTTATCAAATCCTCCTTCCCATGTTTTAACACTTTTCTAAGACAAGCATTTTAATACTTAGTGTGGGAGAGAAAGTCCTAGAGGGATTTTAACCATTACAGACCATTTACATGCACTAAAACCTACAGAGTACACTACAGGAGAGGGAACACCACAGAGAGAAGAATAGAGCATCATTAAAACAAAAACAAGTATAAAACATTCTACCTCTGTCCATCAGATCATGTCTGCAGTTCAGATGATCCAACATCCGTCAGCTGAAGCCAGAGAGCTGCACTGCCTGCTGAGCTCACCTCACATCCAGGTGAGTCTCTCATGGTACAAGTACTCAGATCTTGTAGTAAAAGTAGAAGTACTCAGATCTTGTACTTGAGTAAAAGTAGAAGTACTCAGATCTCGTACTTGAGTAAAAGTAGAAGTACCAGAGTGTAGGAATACTCTGTTACAGTAAAAGTCCTGCATTCAAAATGTTCCTCAAGTAAAAGTAGAAAAGTATTCTCATCAAAATATAGTTAAAGTAGCGACAGTAAAAGTAGTCATTGTGCAGATTGGTCCATTTCAGAATAATATATATGATATGTTTTATAATGATTGATCATGAAAGTGTTCTCAAAGCTGGTAAAGGTGCAGCTAGTTTGAATGACTTTGTATACTGCAGGGTAGCTTGTGGATTTACTCCAGGTGGAACTAAAGTCTGATTTAACACTTGATTAGATTTCACATCATTCATCCACATCTGTAAAGTAACTAAAGGGATTAAATACATGTAGTGGAGTAGAAGTACACCATGTACCTCTGAACTGTAGTGGGGTAGAAGTACACAGTAGCAGAAAATGGGAATACTCAAGTAAAGTACAAGTACCTCAACGTTGTTCTTAAGCACAGTACTTGAGTAAATGACTTTTAGTTACTTTACACCTCTGATCAGAACACCTATCCCCTCAAAGGTTTAAAGGGCTTTATCATCATATGCACAGCAGCTACAGTGTGGAAATCTGAAGTCCAAGGCTCCTCCAACAGTGCATCATAAACAGAGATGGTAAAAGTACACACATCCTTTACTCAAGTACAGATACTCGTGTTTAAAAATACTCTGGTGAAAGTAGAAGTACTGACTAAACTTCTTTACTCAAGTCAAAGTAAAGAGGCTTTGAAATGTACTTCAGTAAAAAGTACCCATAACTAGCAGCTGTTTTAAAGAGTACCTGACCTCCCTTTATATTAATAGAACAATAATGCCATTGTTAGCTAATGAATGTTTCCATGCTGAACAACGGCAACATGACAACGTTTTCATTGGTCCCTCTTCTTTAGAGAAGACCAGGAAATGATGGATACACGGATCGTGTTCAAATCAATAGGCACGCAATGACTCTAAATAATAATGATCACGCCACCAAACACACATTCAAACTAAAGGAACCAGCCTGTTTGGGAAATGTGAGAAGTAGAAAGTACAGGTATTTGGGTTCAACATGTAAGAAGTAGAAAGTACAGGTATTTGGGTTCAACATGTAAGAAGTAGAAAGTACAGGTATTTGTGTTCAACATGTAAGAAGTAGAAAGTACAGGTATTTGGGTTCAACATGTAAGAAGTAGAAAGTACAGGTATTTGGGTTCAACATGTAAGAAGTAGAAAGTACAGGTATTTGGGTTCAACATGTAAGAAGTAGAAAGTACAGGTATTTGGGTTCAACATGTAAGAAGTAGAAAGTACAGGTATTTGTGTTCAACATGTAAGAAGTAGAAAGTACAGGTATTTGTGTTCAACATGTAAGAAGTAGAAAGTACAGGTATTTGTGTTCAACATGTAAGAAGTAGAAAGTACAGGTATTTGGGTTCAAAATGTAAGAAGTAGAAAGTACAGGTATTTGGGTTCAACATGTAAGAAGTAGAAAGTACAGGTATTTGGGTTCAAAATGTAAGAAGTAGAAAGTACAGGTATTTGGGTTCAACATGTAAGAAGTAGAAAGTACAGGTATTTGGGTTCAAAATGTAAGAAGTAGAAAGTACAGGTATTTGGGTTCAACATGTAAGAAGTAGAAAGTACAGGTATTTGGGTTCAAAATGTAAGAAGTAGAAAGTACAGGTATTTGGGTTCAACATGTAAGAAGTAGAAAGTACAGGTATTTGGCTTCAACATGTAAGAAGTAGAAAGTACAGGTATTTGTGTTCAACATGTAAGAAGTAGAAATTACAGGTATTTGTGTTCAACATGTAAGAAGTAGAAAGTACAGGTATTTGGGTTCAACATGTAAGAAGTAGAAAGTACAGGTATTTGGGTTCAACATGTAAGAAGTAGAAAGTACAGGTATTTGGGTTCAACATGTAAGAAGTAGAAAGTACAGGTATTTGTGTTCAACATGTAAGAAGTAGAAAGTACAGGTATTTGTGTTCAACATGTAAGAAGTAGAAAGTACAGGTATTTGTGTTCAACATGTAAGAAGTAGAAAGTACAGGTATTTGTGTTCAAAATGTAAGAAGTAGAAAGTACAGGTATTTGTGTTCAAAATGTGAGAAGTAGAAAGTACAGGTATTTGTGTTCAAAATGTAAGAAGTAGAAAGTACAGCTATTTGTGTTCAACATGTAAGAAGTAGAAAGTACAGGTATTTGGGTTTAAAAATGTAAGAAGTAGAAAGTACAGGTATTTGGGTTCAACATGTAAGAAGTAGAAAGTACAGGTATTTGTGTTCAACATGTAAGAAGTAGAAAGTACAGGTATTTGTGTTCAACATGTAAGAAAGTAGAAAGTACAGGTATTTGTGTTCAACATGTAAGAAGTAGAAAGTACAGGTATTTGTGTTCAAAATGTAAGAAGTAGAAAGTACAGGTATTTGTGTTCAACATGTAAGAAGTAGAAAGTACAGGTATTTGTGTTCAACATGTAAGAAGTAGAAAGTACAGGTATTTGTGTTCAAAATGTGAGAAGTAGAAAGTACAGGTATTTGTGTTCAAAATGTAAGAAGTAGAAAGTACAGGTATTGGTGTTCAAAATGTAAGAAGTAGAAAGTACAGGTATTTGTGTTCAAAATGTAAGAAGTAGAAAGTACAGGTATTTGTGTTCAAAATGTAAGAAGTAGAAAGTACAGGTATTTGTGTTCAACATGTAAGAAGTAGAAAGTACAGGTATTTGTGTTCAAAATGTAAGAAGTAGAAAGTACAGGTATTTGGGTTCAACATGTAAGAAGTAGAAAGTACAGGTATTTGGGTTCAACATGTAAGAAGTAGAAAGTACAGGTATTTGTGTTCAACATGTAAGAAGTAGAAAGTACAGGTATTTGGGTTCAACATGTAAGAAGTAGAAAGTACAGGTATTTGGGTTCAACATGTAAGAAGTAGAAAGTACAGGTATTTGTGTTCAACATGTAAGAAGTAGAAAGTACAGGTATTTGTGTTCAACATGTAAGAAGTAGAAAGTACAGGTATTTGTGTTCAACATGTAAGAAGTAGAAAGTACAGGTATTTGTGTTCAACATGTAAGAAGTAGAAAGTACAGGTATTTGTGTTCAACATGTAAGAAGTAGAAAGTACAGGTATTTGTGTTCAACATGTAAGAAGTAGAAAGTACAGGTATTTGGGTTCAAAATGTAAGAAGTAGAAAGTACAGGTATTTGGGTTCAACATGTAAGAAGTAGAAAGTACAGGTATTTGGGTTCAAAATGTAAGAAGTAGAAAGTACAGGTATTTGGGTTCAACATGTAAGAAGTAGAAAGTACAGGTATTTGGGTTCAAAATGTAAGAAGTAGAAAGTACAGGTATTTGGGTTCAACATGTAAGAAGTAGAAAGTACAGGTATTTGGGTTCAAATGTAAGAAGTAGAAAGTACAGGTATTTGGGTTCAACATGTAAGAAGTAGAAAGTACAGGTATTTGGCTTCAACATGTAAGAAGTAGAAAGTACAGGTATTTGTTTCAACATGTAAGAAGTAGAAATTACAGGTATTTGTGTTCAACATGTAAGAAGTAGAAAGTACAGGTATTTGTGTTCAACATGTAAGAAGTAGAAAAGTACAGGTATTTGTGTTTCAACATGTAAGAAGTAGAAGTACAGGTATTTGTGTTCAAAATGTAAGAAGTAGAAAGTACAGGTATTTGTGTTCCAAAATGTGAGAAGTAGAAAGTACAGGTATTTGTGTTCAAAATGTAAGAAGTAGAAAGTACAAGCTATTTGTGTTCAACATGTAAGAAGTAGAACGTACAGGTATTTGGGTTAAAATGTAAGAAGTAGAAAGTACAGGTATTTGGGGTTCAACATGTAAGAAGTAGAAAGTACAGGTATTTGTGTTCAACATGTAAGAAGTAGAAAGTACAGGTATTTGTGTTCAACTGTAAGAAGTAGAAAGTACAGGTATTTGTGTTCAACATGTAAGAAGTAGAAAAGTACAGGTATTTGTGTTTCAAAATGTAAGAAGTAGAAAGTACAGGTATTTGTGTTCAACATGTAAGAAGTAGAAAGTACAGGTATTTGTGTTCAACATGTAAGAAGTAGAAAGTACAGGTATTTGTGTTCAAAATGTGAGAAGTAGAAAGTACAGGTATTTGTGTTCAAAATGTAAGAAGTAGAAAGTACAGGTATTGGTGTTCAAAATGTAAGAAGTAGAAAGTACAGGTATTTGTGTTCAAAATGTAAGAAGTAGAAAGTACAGGTATTTGTGTTCAAAATGTAAGAAGTAGAAAGTACAGGTATTTGTGTTCAACATGTAAGAAGTAGAAAGTACAGGTATTTGTGTTCAAAATGTAAGAAGTAGAAAGTACAGGTATTTGGGTTCAACATGTAAGAAGTAGAAAGTACAGGTATTTGGGTTCAACATGTAAGAAGTAGAAAGTACAGGTATTTGTGTTCAACATGTAAGAAGTAGAAAGTACAGGTATTTGGGTTCAACATGTAAGAAGTAGAAAGTACAGGTATTTGGGTTCAACATGTAAGAAGTAGAAAGTACAGGTATTTGTGTTCAACATGTAAGAAGTAGAAAGTACAGGTATTTGTGTTCAACATGTAAGAAGTAGAAAAGTACAGGTATTTGTGTTCAACATGTAAGAAGTAGAAAGTACAGGTATTTGTGTTCAAAATGTAAGAAGTAGAAAGTACAGGTATTTGTGTTCAAAATGTGAGAAGTAGAAAGTACAGGTATTTGTGTTCAACATGTAAGAAGTAGAAAGTACAGGTATTTGGGTTAAAAATGTAAGAAGTAGAAAGTACAGGTATTTGGGTTCAACATGTAAGAAGTAGAAAGTACAGGTATTTGTGTTCAACATGTAAGAAGTAGAAAGTACAGGTATTTGTGTTCAACATGTAAGAAGTAGAAAGTACAGGTATTTGTGTTCAACATGTAAGAAGTAGAAAGTACAGGTATTTGTGTTCAAAATGTAAGAAGTAGAAAGTACAGGTATTTGTGTTCAACATGTAAGAAGTAGAAAGTACAGGTATTTGTGTTCAACATGTAAGAAGTAGAAAGTACAGGTATTTGTGTTCAAAATGTGAGAAGTAGAAAGTACAGGTATTTGTGTTCAAAATGTAAGAAGTAGAAAGTACAGGTATTGGTGTTCAAAATGTAAGAAGTAGAAAGTACAGGTATTTGTGTTCAAAATGTAAGAAGTAGAAAGTACAGGTATTTGTGTTCAAAATGTAAGAAGTAGAAAGTACAGGTATTTGTGTTCAACATGTAAGAAGTAGAAAGTACAGGTATTTGTGTTCAAAATGTAAGAAGTAGAAAGTACAGGTATTTGTGTTCAAAATGTAAGAAGTAGAAAGTACAGGTATTGGTGTTCAAAATGTAAGAAGTAGAAAGTACAGGTATTGGTGTTCAAAATGTAAGAAGTAGAAAGTACAGGTATTGGTGTTCCAAATGTAAGAAGTAGAAAGTACAGGTATTTGTGTTCAACATGTAAGAAGTCAAAGTAAAAAGTCGTCAGAAAAATAAGTAGTGGAGTAAAGTACTGATACCAGAAACATGTACTTACTGTAAGTACAGTAACAAAGTATTTGTACTCCACTACTTCCCACCTCTGATCATAAATATATATCCTGTATAAGACATATATGTGTATTCGTCCTCCAGGCGCTGCTCTCCTCCCACGACAGTGTAGCGCAGGCGGACTTCGGGCCGGTGTTGCCTCCTCTTCCTGACGACATGGCGGAGGACGAGGAGGCCATGAGGATCGTCTGTCTGGTGAAGAACAACCAGCCGCTGGTGAGACAGGAGATTAACGCTGCTTCTGATTTATAGTTTTTTACTCAAGAGCCATTTGTAGTTTGTGTGACGATAGCATCGAAGTTGTAGTCGTTTTTTCTGATGTTAGCGTAAGTGAAAATATCCTGGTGTGACTCAATGTGTTGTGTTTAAGCTTCATGTACTGCATCCCTGGGTTGAATGCCTGGACTGAGAGTTATCCATATTGAGATAAGATAAGATAAGATGGACCTTTATTAATCCCTGTGGGGAAATTCAGTAGTTTAACAGCAACAGGGTGAGAGCGAAAGTACAGATACACACAAGATTAATACAATTAAAGATAAAAATTAAAGCTGCTAAAACAAGAAATGAATTAAATGAACAAATATATTGCTTTAAAATGTAATCGGCCGAGCAAGTTATTTAATATAATCTAAAAGGTACATTTTGGAAAACAGGGTTTCCTTATTGAGTAATTCATACATGTTATTACTTGATTGCACCGACCAGATCCAACATTGGATCAGTCGATGTAGTAATATGTCTGAGGGTTGAGAGAGTTGCTGATCTAGAACTGGTGATAACTTAGTACATTTAAGAAGAGACGTGATAACTTAGTTGATGTTCAGAAGAGACGTCTACTTCCTCTCTTGTCCTCTAAGACAGTGGTTCTCAACTGGTGGGTCGCGACCCAAAAGTGGGTCGCAGACCCGCTTGAAGTGGGTCGCAGATGTGAGTGAAGAAAAAAGTCAAACTTGTATTTTGAAGGCCCGATGTTCTAACGCTGTGCATGCAGTAGGCGTTGGACTGGAAGTACCGGAGACCATAAACGGTTTTGAAAACTTCTGTCACGTAGTGATCATCTTCTCAATAAAACATCTTTGCTGAGGTTTTTTCGAGTCTTCTGGCCAATCAGAATCAAGATTGTTGCCGGAAGTCCCCACGGAGAATAACTTTGCGGTAGAACTACTCTTTATACATCCATCGGTACAACTTCAGATACAAATGAACACATGATGAAATATGACCCCTGGTTTGATGATTGACAGGTCACAGAACAATGGGGGCTATCTACCCTTACCCACAAAGTAATACACAGACTATCTCCTCTTTGCTCTTCTCTCTGTGAGGAGCAGCAAGCTGTCAGAACAAAGTGAAACACAAACAATGGCATCAAATATTATTAATATGTCGGGTAGCAATAGATTTATTTATTTTCTTCTCAGAGTGTACCAGAATGCGTAGTTTATATATTAGTATTTCTAAAAAATTCCTGGGGGAGAATCCCCCAGACCCCCTTCTGGGGATTGGTTTTCAGCATGTGGGCCTTTTTGTGTTATACAGTTCAGCTTTGATTCCATCATCTCATTAAACCTTTTTTAAAAGCATTCTTTAGTTCTGTGAAGGGATATAAGGGATATATGCTCTGTACTTCACTTTAATTCATATTGTATGCTGCAAAGTGTATATATTACTGCACCATTTTTTGTTGAATAGATTTGAGTGGTTCGAAATCTCGGGTCGCGATCTATTGACAAAGGAAAAAGTGGGTCCAGAGGCCGGACCAGTTGAGAACCACTGCTCTAAGATACAACATTTGATCAGTCGATCTAGTAATACTGTATGTCTGAGGGTTGAAAGAGCTGCTATAACTGGTGATAACTAAGTAAATGTTCAGCTTTAAGAAGAGACGTGTCCTTCCTCTCTCGTCCTCTAAGAACGTTGCTCAGCGTAGAGGAAGTGTAGACGCAGTGGGAGTAATTCGCAGTCGATGGAGCAGCCTCCGCCGCCTCACGCTGGACCGCCTGGTCCCGGCGCAGAGGGCATGGTCGGGGGAGGAGCTTAGAGCGACAGAGGGTGAATCTCGCCCGCTGCCTCTCCCTCGGGGGGGGCGATCACGACCCTTTCTCCCCCGATACGAGTCCACGGGAAGCTGCCGATTGAGACCGCAAACATCAGAGCTCTGGAAGAAAGGGCTCAACCAATCAGCTCCCTCCGTCTTCAGCCCCGCCCCCAGTTCTGGTAAGAGTAGGAGGAGGATATTACGATTACCCATCGGCCATCCATTTCTTCATTCTTCCATTTCTTCATCCATCCATTTCTTCATCCATCCATTTCTTCATCCATCCATTTATTCATCCATCCATTTCTTCATCCATCCATTTCTGCTTTCATTCTTTCATTTATTGCACAATCTGTCATCAAGACTCCACCGAAGGCTTAACACTTTGGAGGAATTTTGCCAAAAAGAGCGATTCTTAAAGATTCCACAGAGAGTTCAAGGCAGTCCTAACTTCACTTCCAAGCCAACATCGTCTTGGTGTTCCTTATTTATATTTAGTTATGTAAGGAATAATTACATAATGTTAAATGCTTAATAAGTAATAGTAAATCATCTGATCCATCTATCCCTCCATCATCCATCCATCTATCCCTCCATCATCCATCCATCCATCCCTCCATCTATCCCTCCATCCATCCATCTCTGCATGTTCTCTATCTTTAGTTGGGATGTCCATGTTTTGGTTCATCCATCAATTATGGATTATTATATCTTCACGGTCCAATACCTTTTTTGCTTTTTCCTGCCCAGCTGTTCTCTTCCACTATATTTACTTGTCTCTTGCTCTCTTATCTTCCATCGCCTCTCAACCTGGAGGTTCTTTCCCAGATCAACCCAAACCCATCGGGGGAGAACGATCCTCTCCAGGAGGAAGCAGCGATGACTACGCCTACCCTCCTCCTCCAGTCCCTGCCTACAGCCTCAGCCTTCCCAACTCACCTGTCTTATACAAGAAAGCTGCACCAAGGGGACAATCGAGAACTGTCCCTACACCCGGTAGAAGTCCAGGAAATAACCCTCTTGGATCGCTCACCGCTCCTTCTACTCCATCGCCTCATCGGCACCAAGGCGTTAGCACACTCCCCACTTCTGGTAGACAACATGGCTGCCAAACTACATCTGGTAAACCCCAAAATGCGCCTCAAAGATGTCCCCAATACTCTACTGTGCCTCGTCACAACAGGCAACAAATGCAACCCAAACATCTTCACCGTCCTGATCTCACCACCGCGCAACAAACTGTGGCTGGGAACATAGAACGAGGCACGAAGGACGTCCGTTATTTGGTCCAAAAGATGGTGGTGGAGACGGAAATGAAGGAGGAAAACGCTCAGGCTCTCAATTTACTTGCCGAGGTGGTGGATAAGCTTCAGGGTCTGATCGTGGCGAGTAAACAACCAGATGTTTCGCCTGAATGTAGACGAAAACAACCTCCTCCACAACCTCCTCCCAGGGTGTCCTCGATTTCTCCCAAAGTGGTGGTTCGTAAGACTCCGACACCTTACCCTCGCCGCTGCTCGTCTTCCTCTTCCTGTTCCACATCGTCTTCCTCCAGTTCCTGTGCGGATGGATTTGCAAAGTCGATCAATTCAAGGGGAACCAATGGAGAAAGGACCGTGAAGTTTGGTGCCGCCCAAGGGTCAAGGGGGAGAAACGGACATTTGGTTTGTAGAGCGACTCTGGATGATCAACAGGAATGTGAAACCACAGGATGCTTAACAACCAAGAAGAAGAGAAAGAATAAGTAGGACCAGAAACAAACCGCCTCCTCTCCTTATCTACCGTAGCGTTCAAAACAGACTCCGACTAAAATACCTTTATATGTACAGCTATATCCCAACTAGTAACCAAGTTCTACTCTATACCAGATGGATACTGATCTTTTTCAGTTTTTGGACAACTAACACTCATGAAGAACTGGATTTATCAACCGAATAGGTCGAAGCCATTATTTAAAGGTGCAGAGGAATTACATTTTCTCAACCGTCATCTCTCATTTCATCCTTCATCCGTTCATAATGCCGTTTATTATTCCTGTCCATATGTTAGTCTGAGTCTTTCTTATCTTAGTTTGCCTATAAATAGGAAATACAAACAAAACCTCCAGTGGTTTTAACGGACTGAAGTTATTCTGGGATGTTGAAATATAAAAGTGGGTGTCGTCTGCATACTGTTAACGCATTGTAAAGATGTTCTAACTTATGGTGTTTCCAGCTGTTGGATAATGTTACTGCTTGTATCATAAATATTTAGGGAGCTGTGTGAAGTGTGATCAATGTCCTTTTAACCTCTTAAGCACGGCGGTCCCCCCATTGGACCTCTCCCACCGTTTTTTTTTCGAGACAATGTCTCAGGGCTTCTTTACATTTATGAAACTATTAATGTGTAGCACCAGATTAACGGGAAGAATCTCAGCTAACTGAAGATATGAACCATTTTACCAAAACAAAACACAAGTCTCATAAGAAGGGTCTAAATGACCCCTGAGCGAAAAAATTCTAACGCACTGCGGCACACAATTCAAGATAAAGATACCCTTATTACTTATCGTAGCTGCACATACAATATAGCCGATTAAAGCTGAGACTCCACAGATTATTTAGGTATAGTATCGTCACTGAGCGATCCGAACTTGCGACAGGGGAAGCAAACACAGACATCACAACACGTACCTTTACGGAGCATTTACGGCAGATCGTCTCACCGTAGCTGTCAATTAGGTCAAAAGACGTGTTCAATGGCATTAAAACGGGAAAAAAAAATCTACAACTGTTGATCCATAGGTTGATAATGTACCTGTGCCTTTGAAGAAATTATTTATAATCCATAATTCCATTTTTATGTAAAAATCGGAGCGGAAAAGTTAGCTGCTAATGGTAGCCACCAGAGTGTATGCAGCTTCCGGTTTTGGTAACGCGTCACTCTCACTCCTTATTTGTTAACGTTTTGGTGTGTATATAACTTTCTCTCGATTCCATTGGCTCTAGCGGTTATAAAGAGATGTCATTCATCAAAATCGAGCAAGGGGGGGCCAGAGATAGGTCAAATCCACCCAAATGACCCCAGAAGTGTTTTTTTTGGCTAAATCTCTCTAAAAAGGTCAAATTTCACTTGTTTTGCATCAATCTTGGTACAAGGTACTTATTATATGTTGTACTTTGGATTCCTAAAGCTTTTAGTCTACTAACCCATCATCCAAGGGTAGTTTTCACTATAAGTAAAAAATAATTTTTGGACGGACACTATAATTTACAGTTTTTTACGATGTAAAATCTGAATTTTCTTTAAAATAAAAAACATCTATATTGATTCTGACTTTTCTACATCCAACTCACAGGTTTATCATTACTTTGAGAATAAAGATTATTAATTTAACCCTTTTAGAAGGGAAGATATGGTCATTTGTTCTGGGAATGTCATTTTCGAGCCTGAGACCTGAAAAACAGGCTCAGGGCTTAAGAGGTTAAGGCTGTCACTAAAGGTATCAACATTTAAAAAATCCAGAGGTCTAAAGTAAAGAAATATTTGTTTAATGGCCGCTGTAGCCTGCTGTTCTTATGTGCTGAAGGCTACATTAGCTGCTAACTAGCATAATACATGAGTTTCCCAACGAAATGTCAGAGGAAGAGTTGCATTGTGGGTAATGTAGGCACACGGAGTACGTATGTGTGGAATACAAATGATTATACCTCTGGCTCAGCAGACTGTTTTAGCATTTAAAGTTTAGTATGCCTGCTAAATATCTACAAACTACTCATTTGTATACATCGTCTCGCTTTAAGAGCTTCGGGAACCAGTAGCGTTCATCCCATCCTCCATTGTTATCCTTCCCATTGAATGTTTCCCTACATTTAATCAGAGCTGGTTGTTTAATCTGCAGTAACTGTTCTGGTGTCAGGGCGCGACGATAAGGAGAGACGAGGAGACGGGAGCCATCTACATCGCGAGGGTGATCCACGGAGGCCTGGCCGACCGCAGCAGTGAGTGGAAACTGTTACCAAACAATACTAGAGATAATATATGAGGTATTAATGTGTGTGTGTGTGTGTGTGTGTGTGTGTGTGTGTGTGTGTGTGTGTGTGTGTGTGTGTGTGTGTGTGTGTGTGTGTGTGTGTGTGTGTGTGTGTGTGTGTGTGTGTGTGTGTGTGTGTGTGTGTGTGTGTGTGTGGTGTGTGTGTGTGTGTGTGTGTGTGTGTGTGTGTGTGTGTGAGGACTCCTCCACGCTGGGGATCTGCTGGTGGAGGTGAACGGGAACCCGGTTGCCGGTCTGGAGCCGGAGCAGGTCATCCAGATACTGGTGAGTCACCGGGGGGTACGTTTGTAAGTTCACCCACTTACAAAGAAATGAACAGTCTATCATTTTAATGGTAGTTTTATTTGAACAGTGAGAGTAAGAATATCAAAAAGAAAATCCAGAAATTGACATTATATAAAAGATCAAAATAGATTTGCATTGAACTGTGTGAAAGTATTTGATCCCCTTGCGACCAACACGGGTTCTGGCTCCCACAGACCGGTTACATAAGTCCTCTACCTTTAAGAAAGTACTCCTATCAACTTGTTACCTGAATAAAAGACACCTGTCCACAGAATCAATCACTCAGATTCCAACCTCTCCACCATGGGCCGGACTAAAGAGCTGTCTAAGGACCTCAGGGAGGAGACTGTAGACCTGCACCAGGCTGGGATCGGCTACAAGACCATCAGAGAGCAGCTTGGTGAGAAGGAGACAACTGTTGGTGCCATTATTTGAAAATGGAATAAAATAAAATATGGGTATCAATCAACAATCAATCACCCTCGGTCTGGGGCTCCACACAAGATCTCGCCCCGTGGGGTATCTCAAGGCAGCTGGGACCAGTCACCAAGAAAACTATTGGTAACACACTACATCATAATGGATCAAATCCTGCAGCGCCCCCCCCCCCTGCTCAAGAAGAACATGAACGGCCCGTCTGAAGTTTGACAATGAACATCTGAATGATTCAGAGAAGGCTTGGGAGAAGGTGATGTGGTCAGATGAGACCAACATTGCAATCTTTGGCATCAGCTTGACACGCCGTGTTTGGAGGAACACCATCCATCAGGCATGGAGGTGGAAACATTATGGTTTGGGGGTGTTTCTCTGCTAAGGGGACAGGACCACTTCCCTGCATCGAGGAGAGGATGGACGGGGACATGTACCGTGACATCTTGGCTGATAGCCTCCTTCCCTCAGCCAGGACACTGAACATGGGTCATGGAGGGGTCTTCCAGCAGGACCATGACCCTGAACATACGGCCAAGGACACACAGGAGGGGCTAAAGAAGAAGCACATTGAGGTGAGGGAGGGGCTAAAGAAGAAGCACATTGAGGTGAGGGAGGGGCTAAAGAAGAAGCACATTGAGGTGATGGAGGGGATAAAGAAGAAGCCCATTGAGGTAAGGGAGGGGCCTAGCCAGTCTTCAGACCTTAATCCCAGAGAACATCTGTGGAGGGAGCTGAAGCTTCCAGAGGCCAAGCATCAGCCTCAACACCTTCAGGGTTTGGAGAGGATCTTCAGAGAGGAGTGGAGCAACATCCTTCCTGAGATGTGCACAGACCTGGAGACCAGCTACAAGAAGCGTCTGACTCTGTATGACCTCTGTCTGACCTCTGTCTGACCTCTGTGTGTCCAACAAGGATTTCTCCACCAAGTACTAACACATGTTCTGCAAGGGGATCAAATACTTATTTCACACAGTTCAATGCAAATCAATTGTTATCTTTTATATAATGTCAATTTCTGGATTTTCTTTTTGTTATTCTTACTCTCACTGTTAAAATAAAACGACCATTACACGTATAGACTGTTCATTTCTTTGTAAGTGGGTAAACTTACAAAATCTGCAAGGGATCAAATACTTATTTCCTCCACTGTATATATTGAAATATTAATAAATAAAGCCCAGGGATGGCATAGGATAGAAACTTCATTAGAGGACAAGAGGACAATTAGTGCAGAATATTGAACTGAGAACGCGTGCTGGAGCCGCATGTAACTACATGCTGTTTTTGCAGATGAACTCCCATGGAACGATCCTGTTTAAAGTCATTCCTGATGCAGCGCAGAGCAGCGGAAACAGCCAGAAGACGGTGAGTGCTCGACCAGTTTCAGGTTCTTTCTCTCATTGTTTTGATAACACACTTTCAAAATACAGAACTCCAAAACTAATTCAGGCAGAAGAGGGTTAAGGGCCACCAAGTTGAGATCTGACCAGAAGTGATTTTTGTTTAGGTAGAAGTCAGATCTTTTAATTTTTTCTCAGATTTCAGACAAAAGTCAGAATTGTTAAAACCAAAAACACATTCAGAATTGGAATTTCTGATTTCTGATTCTGATTCTGTTTCTGATTCTTTCTTCTTCTTCTCCCCCCCAGGTGTTCATGAAGGCGATGGTGGACTACTGCCCCCTGCTGGACACCTGCAGCCCCTGCCCCCCTGCAGGCATGATGTTCAGCAGAGGAGAGCTGCTGCAGGTCGTGGATCAGAGCGACGCCAGGTGGTGGCAGGCTAGGAAGATAAGCTCCTCCCCCATGAAGATAAGCTCCTCCCCCTCCTCTTCCTCCACCTGTGCCGGGATCATCCCCTCCGCTAGCATGCTCCGGAGGTGATTAGATAATCATATTTACATCGATATAATAACTGTAGTGTTGCCTTTAAATAAATAAAAACAGCATTGTTGCGACAAATCTCCCAATGAACAGTCTCTCGAGGCTCATCACTTTGACACGTTTCAATTACAAGAGTCCGTACTGAAGTTAGAGCTTCACGAAGTTTAATAACTCAAACAAACAAACAATAACTTAAAGAGGACCAAACGTTCAACAGCAAATGAGCTCACCGTCTGTGTCGTACAAACAACAGGTGGACGAAATACAAACAAACAAGACTCATGTGACAAACACCTGAAGTGGTCATTAAATACAAATGTGTGCGATCTAAAATGACAACAATAATGGAGATGATTTCCTCAGGCTAGATAAGCATGTTGGCTCGTACAGGCTATAGCACACCTGTGATGTTTATAGTGTAGTATTAGGTATGTCTGTTATAACCTATTTAACGGTGTTGTGATATTGAAAGGTAAATATGGGTGTCATCTGCATAGTGTTTAAGATGTTCTAACTAACTTCTAACTGTGTGTATTTTCAGCGGTGAGGGAGTTGTACTGCACTTTTATAAAAGTAGCACTAACGGCCCGTCCACACGGCGGCGTGCGTTGAAGCTTCAACGCTTCTGCCCATTCACTTTGAATGGGGTGACGTCACGCTTCGCCGAACTGCATTGTGGGAGCGTCAATACGCGTTGCTCGCTTCAAAAGTTGAGCAATGTTCAACTTTTGAAGCTTCGGCGGAAGCGTCAGCCAATCAAATCATATGCCAGTACAAGCTCTAGCCAATCAAACCGCGTGCCCTTGTGTCCGGGGCGGGAGATTCATGTGATTGGTTGTTGGTCGAGTTTCAGACACGCCCACCTGCGAGCGTCAACGCACGCCGCCGTGTGGACGCTGCGTTAGAGGGAGCTGTGTGAAGTTAAATATCTCTCTACTGTGTTTACTGTTTATTTTGAACACGCTGCTGTTCCAAAATAGTCCTAATTAGGGATTAATAAAGCACTCATTTGGTCTGATATGAAGTTAACAGTTGTGTCTTCCTCTCTTCAGTAAACAGAGGGAGAATTGGTGGTCTCAGCCCCTTCAGGTTCACACCTGCATCAAACCCCGTGAGTCTTTGTTTATTTTCTATTATCTATGTTTATTTAATATTTACATCTATGATCTACAGTCTGCAGGAAACCGTTGTAATGCTTTGGTACGACACAGATTCAAAAACATGATTGTTAAGTAAGTGTGTCAGGCATAAGTGGGGAAACATTGAAATATAAATGTTGTTTTATGAAGAAGTGGAGATGAAGTTATGTTAGTTTGATTTAGTTTGGAAAGTTTCTCGACACTTTTTACTTTATTTTTTATCCCAAAATGTCTGTTTTATTCTCTATATTTTGACTTTATCCTCAACATTGAAACTCTCTTTTATTTTGGACATTTTTCTTTTATTCTCTACATTTCAAATGTGTTCTTAAAACTTCAAAAGTATCCTCCACATTCAACATTTTTATTCTATTCTCAATATTTTTGATTAATTCTCAATATTTTCAAAATAATTCTCAATATTTATAATAAAATCTCCACATTGTTTATGTATTCCTGACTATTTAGATTTAGTCTCAATATTTTAAATTAATTCTCAATATTTTAAATTAATCCTCCACATTTGTTATGTATTCCTGATATTTTGACTTCCTTCTGAGCGTCCTCCTGGCGGCGTATGAGGAGGGGAATGTTGTTAAATGTCTCTCTGCATCTCATCACCTTATAAACGGTGCTTCTCTGAACTAGTACATATCCCTGCTGTACATGAAGAGATTTTAAATCACATTTTACAACGTGTGTTTCTGTCCTCAGTGACCGTGGGAGGAAGCGCCGGTGAGACCAGACTTTACCTATTATGAATTCATCATTATTACACTATATGTTGAAGTGAGAGCTGCTGAAACAACGTTTATTCTGTTTTTATTTCAGATAACATTCAAACACCTGCTGATGAACACCTCCCGGCAACAGGTACAGCACGTCACGAAACCAGTTGTTTTATTACTGATCACAGTCAAATGTACTTTAGTGAAACATCTTTTTATTTGAATGTCTTCTTCCTGCAGACGAGGCGGACTCTGATGTTACCGATGGGATTTACCTCGGTGAGACACAATTAGATTATTTATTTAAGTATATAAGTTTGTTTGTTGTAGGTTTATTTGTTTGTTTGATGTAAAAAAAACAACAACAATAAGATAAATGTTGCATATATACATAAGATAAGATGAGATGTACTTTATTGATCCCAATTTGGGAAATGTTTGCACATAAGTAGAAATTAAAAGAGGAGAAATAAACAATTATATTACACATTACAAACAAATACATGATAAACAAGAAGAGAATGTAAAGTGAAATACTGTTTAGTAACAGATGAATACTTATTGTAAGTTGCTCTGGATAAAACCGTCCGCTAAATGGGATTTATTTGTAATGTATTTCCAATTTATTTCCAATTTATTTGTAATTTATTTGTAATTGTTTGTAATTTAAACGACATTTTTTCTTGACGTTCCCCAGCTGGTTTCCGGCGTAGTTTCCGTCTGTGGAGGCGCACGTCGTACAGAAGGAGGCGTCAGTCCTGCAGCTCCTGCTCCCCCGACACCAGCTCCCTCTGCCCCCCCTACGAGGAGGTGGCTCTGTACCAGCGCCCCCCCCAGGAGAACCACCGCCTCATCATCCTGCTCGGTGAGGCCCGGGGAAATAACCCCCCCCACCACAAACATTAAGAATAACATTAATGCATCAATACTGTGAGTCAGGTTCATCTCATATACAGTATCTCTCCATGAGCGTCAGAACACCTGGGGAGGGGGACATGTGCATTGGTACGGCAAGATAGATTCAAAGTCCCCTAGTATGCAAAAGTCACTTCCTGATGTCTTCTCTACATCACCATGTGTCCCCGGTGTGTGAGGAGACTCACTAAGTGATGTCTTCTCTACATCACCATGTGTCCCCGGTGTGTCAGGAGACTCACTAAGTGATGTCTTCTCTACATCACCATGTGTCCCCGGTGTGTCAGGAGACTCACTAAGTGATGTCTTCTCTACATCACCATGTGTCCCCGGTGTGTCAGGAGACTCACTAAGTGATGTCTTCTCTACATCACCATGTGTCCCCGGTGTGTCAGGAGACTCACTAAGTGATGTCTTCTCTACATCACCATGTGTCCCCGGTGTGTCAGGAGACTCACTAAGTGATGTCTTCTCTACATCACCATGTGTCCCCGGTGTGTCAGGAGACTCACTAAGTGATGTCTTCTCTACATCACCATGTGTCCCCGGTGTGTCAGGAGACTCACTAAGTGATGTCTTCTCTACATCACCATGTGTCCCCGGTGTGTCAGGAGACTCTCTAAGTGATGTCTTCTCTACATCACCATGTGTCCCCGGTGTGTCAGGAGACTCTCAAAGTGATGTCTTCTCTACATCACCATGTGTCCCCGGTGTGTCAGGAGACTCACTAAGTGATGTCTTCTCTACATCACCATGTGTCCCCGGTGTGTCAGGAGACTCACTAAGTGATGTCTTCTCTACATCACCATGTGTCCCGGGTGTGTCAGGAGACTCACATAGTGATGTCTTCTCTACATCACCGTGTGTCCCCGGTGTGTCAGGAGACTCACTAAGTGATGTCTTCTCTACATCACCTTGTGTCCCCGGTGTGTCAGGAGACTCACTAAGTGATGTCTTCTCTACATCACCATGTGTCCCGGGTGTGTCAGGAGACTCTCTAAGTGATGTCTTCTCTACATCACCATGTGTCCCCGGTGTGTCAGGAGACTCTCAAAGTGATGTCTTCTCTACATCACCATGTGTCCCCGGTGTGTCAGGAGACTCACATAGTGATGTCTTCTCTACACCACCATGTGTCCCTGGTGTGTCAGGAGACTCACAAAGTGATGTCTTCTCTACATCACTATGTGTCCCCGGTGTGTCAGGAGACTCACTAAGTGATGTCTTCTCTACATCACCATGTGTCCCGGGTGTGTCAGGAGACTCACAAAGTGATGTCTTCTCTACACCACCATGTGTCCCCGGTGTGTCAGGAGACTCACATAGTGATGTCTTCTCTACATCACCGTGTGTCCCCGGTGTGTCAGGAGACTCTCTAAGTGATGTCTTCTCTACATCACCATGTGTCCCCGGTGTGTGAGGAGACTCACAAAGTGATGTCTTCTCTACACCACCATGTGTCCCCGGTGTGTCAGGAGACTCACATAGTGATGTCTTCTCTACATCACCGTGTGTCCCCGGTGTGTCAGGAGACTCTCTAAGTGATGTCTTCTCTACATCACCATGTGTCCCCGGTGTGTCAGGAGACTCTCTAAGTGATGTCTTCTCTACATCACCATGTGTCCCCGGTGTGTCAGGAGACTCACTAAGTGATGTCTTCTCTACATCACCGTGTGTCCCCGGTGTGTCAGGAGACTCACATAGTGATGTCTTCTCTACATCACCATGTGTCCCCGGTGTGTCAGGAGACTCTCAAAGTGATGTCTTCTCTACATCACCATGTGTCCCGGGTGTGTCAGGAGACTCACATAGTGATGTCTTCTCTACATCACCATGTGTCCCCGGTGTGTCAGGAGACTCACATAGTGATGTCTTCTCTACATCACCATGTGTCCCCGGTGTGTGAGGAGACTCTCAAAGTGATGTCTTCTCTACATCACCATGTGTCCCGGGTGTGTCAGGAGACTCTCTAAGTGATGTCTTCTCTACATCACCATGTGTCCCCGGTGTGTGAGGAGACTCACTAAGTGATGTCTTCTCTACATCACCATGTGTCCCCGGTGTGTCAGGAGACTCACATAGTGATGTCTTCTCTACATCACCATGTGTCCCCGGTGTGTCAGGAGACTCACTAAGTGATGTCTTCTCTACACCACCATGTGTCCCCGGTGTGTCAGGAGACTCACATAGTGATGTCTTCTCTACACCACCATGTGTCCCCGGTGTGTGAGGAGACTCACAAAGTGATGTCTTCTCTACACCACCATGTGTCCCCGGTGTGTCAGGAGACTCACATAGTGATGTCTTCTCTACACCACCATGTGTCCCCGGTGTGTCAGGAGACTCACATAGTGATGTCTTCTCTACATCACCGTGTGTCCCCGGTGTGTCAGGAGACTCTCTAAGTGATGTCTTCTCTACATCACCATGTGTCCCCGGTGTGTCAGGAGACTCTCTAAGTGATGTCTTCTCTACATCACCATGTGTCCCCGGTGTGTGAGGAGACTCACAAAGTGATGTCTTCTCTACACCACCATGTGTCCCCGGTGTGTCAGGAGACTCACATAGTGATGTCTTCTCTACATCACCGTGTGTCCCCGGTGTGTCAGGAGACTCACATAGTGATGTCTTCTCTACATCACCATGTGTCCCCGGTGTGTGAGGAGACTCACTAAGTGATGTCTCTTCTACATCACCATGTGTCCCCGGTGTGTCAGGAGACTCTCTAAGTGATGTCTTCTCTACATCACCATGTGTCCCCGGTGTGTCAGGAGACTCTCAAAGTGATGTCTTCTCTACATCACCATGTGTCCCCGGTGTGTCAGGAGACTCTCTAAGTGATGTCTTCTCTACATCACCATGTGTCCCCGGTGTGTCAGGAGACTCACATAGTGATGTCTTCTCTACATCACCATGTGTCCCCGGTGTGTGAGGAGACTCACAAAGTGATGTCTTCTCTACATCACCATGTGTCCCCGGTGTGTCAGGAGACTCTCTAAGTGATGTCTTCTCTACATCACCATGTGTCCCCGGTGTGTCAGGAGACTCACTAAGTGATGTCTTCTCTACATCACCATGTGTCCCCGGTGTGTCCCCGGTGTGTCCCCGGTGTGTCCCCGGTGTGTCAGGAGACTCACAAAGTGTCAGGAAATAAACCCCTCTCTCTTTTCCTCCGTACCCACATCTCTAAAAACGGGGGAACAACGGAGCTGATCCAGATTTGCTGCGTCATGACCACATTACTAAAATGTGGGCGGGCTTTACACCCACGGGCCAATCAGAAACGTTGCTGTCAGAAAACAATGAGACGTGTTCTGGAGAGTTTATTTTGACTGCTTCTCGTCTTGCTTCCTGTGTGCAGGTGCGACCCGGGTTGGAGTGAATGAACTGAGGAAGAGTCTGATCAAACTGAACCCGTCCAGCTTCCAGAGTCCCGTCCCTCGTAGGTGACCTCCCTAACTGAACATGTCTAACTGTATAGTGTGAGGTTATTGTCGGTTAAAACACAAGCTTTTTAATGTTTAGATTTTATTTTGACTGCTTAAAATCCAGATAATACAAAATAAGAAATGTAAATAAAAAGGAAAAACTAAACTAAAACAACAAAAACTAAATGGCATACTAGTGGGAACTTAAAAAATGCATTTTATTGCTACTCGAATGACATTATATTTTTATGGATCTTGCATATTATTTGTATTTCTTTCCAACTTCCCATTTTTTAAAGACTTTAAAAAATATGTATTTATTAGATTTTAATAACAAAAAAGGCCGTAATTAACGCCTGAATTTCTTATATTATCTTAATTCAAAACAGTTAATTTACTATATCAACAAAAAAGTAACATTTAAAAAAGATATATATATATTGAAAAACATGGAGGTGAATACTAAGTTTTGATTGGCTGTCGGCCTCTTCCTGTAGACACCACTCGTCCAATGAAAGCGGGAGAGCAGACAGGAAGAGAATATCACTTCATCACCAGAGAGCTGTTCGAGTACATGGTCTGTAACCACAGGTGAGAAGAGCAAATAACTTTAACTTTCATTTTTGTATTTAATCGTATTTTATTATTATTTTTGTGTTGTAATTTTTTCCATTCATTTTATATTTTAATTATCTTTGCCTTGTGTGTGTGTGTGTGTGTGTGTGTGTGTGTGTGTGTGTGTGTGTGTGTGTGTGTGTGTGTGTGTGTGTGTGTGTGTGTGTGTGTGTGTGTGTGTCTGTGTGTGTGTGTGTGTGTGTGTGTGTGTGTGTGTGTGTGTGTGTGTGTGTGTGTGTGTGTGTGTGTGTGTGTGTGTCTGTGTGTGTGTGTAGGTTTGTAGAGTACGGAGAGTTTAAAGGTCAGCTCTACGGGACGAGCACCGACTCCATCGATGACGTCCTGAGACAAGCACGGATGTGCATCATCGACGTGGAGCCACACGTGAGAATCAAATATCAATAATAATATCAATAACATGTATTTATTTCAATCATTAAATACAGGTGACAGGATGCTACATTTTAGACTGATTTTAGAGCATTAAAATATATCAAATGTATTGAAAAATCCTGAAGTGAATGCAAATTAATGAAAGAAATATAATGGTAAATAAACGACTTGAATACAATATGAATACATAGAGAGCATCACAGGAGATAGAATGAAGTTAAACATATTTTAGAAAATCTATATTGGCAATATGGACTAAATTCCAGGCATGTAATTGTTGTTGTTGTTGTTGTTGTTGTTGTTGTTGTTGTTGTAGAGCATCCAGCCGCTGCGCTCAAAGAAGCTGAAGCCGTTCGTGATCTTCATCAAACCTCCGGCCGCCGACCGGCTCAGAGAAACTCGGAGAAACGCCCGAATCCTGTCGAGCTGCAGAGAGACACGAGAGTTCAGAGTGAGGGGGAAATAAAAAAAATACAAAATAAATACGGAATAAATTAATATTAAACAAGGCTTTGTTCAGATCAGCTGAGCTCCACAGAGGCTGAATCATCATATTAATCGTTGTCAAAGAGCTATCATATGCCTAAAGCTAGTGTTGTAGTACTCGAGACCGGTCTTGGTCTTGACTCGATCTCGAACTCTTAAAGTCTTGGTGTTGACTTGGTCTCGACCTCTTAAAGACTCTGTCTCGACCTCTTAAAGACTCTGTCTCGACCTCTTAAAGTCTTGGTCTTGACTCTGTCTCGACCTCTTAAAGTCTTGGTCTCGAACTTAAAGTCTTGGTCTTGACTCTGTCTCAACCTCTTAAAGTCGAACTCTTAAAGTCTTGGTCTCAAACTCTTAAAGTCTTGGTCTCAAACTCTTAAAGTCTTGGTCTCAAACTCTTAAAGTCTTGGCCTCGACCTCTTAACGTCTTGGTCTTCACTCTGTCTCGAACTCTTAAAGTCTCTGTCTCGAACTCTTAAAGTCTTGGTCTCGACCTCTTAACGTCTTGGTCTTCACTCTGTCTCGACCTCTTAACGTCTTGGTCTTCACTCTGTCTCGACCTCTTAACGTCTTGGTCTTCACTCTGTCTCGAACTCTTAAAGTCTTGGCCTTGACTCTGTCTCGACCTCTTAACGTCTTGGTCTTCACTCTGTCTCGAACTCTTAAAGTCTTGGTCTTGACTCTTAAAGTCTTGGTCATGACTTGGTCTTGGTTAAGCTGGTCTTGACTACAACACTACCTATAACAGCGTATAATGGTTCTCTTCTAGGAGGTCATACATCCTGTCATATACTTGGACCTCTGTTATCACGCGCACTTCTGTATCCTTGAAAGAGCACATTCGTTTTGATCAGATTTTGGTCACTTTGTGATGTCACAATGTTTTGTTGGGTTGTGCAACCATTAGCCAATGAGCAATCAAGGTAAAAGCTACAGACAGAGAATCAGCACTTTTGAAAGAGGGCTGAAACAGAGGGGAGTATGGGATGCTGCAATGATCTGTTTGGTGTTTCAGCCAATCAGAGACAGGCTCTGGATATATCTGAGAATTGAATTCACATTTATTCGCTGTTCTCCTGCAGGAGGAGGACTTTGTGGATCTGGAGGAAACGTCCCGTCTCATCGAAGAAAAATACAAACAGTTCTTTGACTTCACGCTGGAGAACAACGAGCTGCAAGAATCCTGCAGGAAACTCTGCTCCATCATAAAGGAGGCGCAGGAGGAGGAGCAGTGGATACCAGTCAGCTGGAGCAGAGAGGAGGAGTGAGGAAGAGGAGGAGGAGGAGGAGGAGGGCACATTAGAAAATAAATTATATTTAGACTTCAAAATGGTTGTTAAGAATCAGTTGTGATATTTGGTGAAAAATGAATACAAATAAAGAATATTTGTCCATATTCGGGGGAAAAGATTAGGAGGAAGAGGAGGAGAAGGAGGAGGAAGAGGAGCAGGAGGAGAGGACTGTCATGCACATGTATCCTTAATGTTGAAATGTTGAAAAAGAGACCTTATGTTAGAAGAAAATAATCATAAAATGAATCGAAAAAAAGTGTAATATTTCTAACAAATTGTAATATTTTGATGTTTTGATATAACACTTTTTCCGGTACTCAAAGAAGCTTAAAACAAATCTGAAAACAAAAAGATAAGATTTGTTCATTTTGAAACAATAATATTTGGGGGAAAATGTGTAATATTCAGATTTTAATATGTGATTACATCTGAAGAATAACAGTTGTCATATTTGGAGGGAACATTGTAATAATTGGAAAAGATGAGTTGTGATGTTTTGATAAAAAAAAAGAAATGTATTTAAATGAAAAAAGGGAATACGGGTTTATCTAGGAAAGTAAACATGTATGAATGTGTTTTATTTATTTAAATGTATTTTTGTAATTTATTGAGTTTCAAATGTTTTTAATGTTATATTTATTATGAGTTCTCGAGCAATCACATGACCTGAGATGGAATGGTAACGTAAAGAAATAAAGAAAAACATTAAAACGGCGTGTCGTGTGTGTGTGTGTGTGTGTGTGTGTGTGTGTGTGTGTGTGTGTGGGTGTGTATGGTGTGTGTGTGTGTGTGTGTGTGTGTGTGTGTGTGTGTGTGGGTGTGGTGTGGTGTGTGTGTGTGTGGTGTGCGTGTGTGTGTGTCAGGTTAATCCTCTCAGCAGGTTTACAGCAGGATTAATGTTTCCTCCACAGCTTCTACATCTACAAAGTGCAGAGTAACAACAAAACACACAAAGAGGCAACACACAACATGCAACAGAGACACACAACAACAACAAACCAAAAAGATACACCACGACCACAACAAAAACACAAAACAACTACATGGAGAGACCAAGTGACTACAAAGAGACACTAAAGGACTACAAAGAGACACTAAAGGACTACAAAGAGACACTAGAGGACTACAAAGAGACACTGAAGGACTACAAAGAGACACTAGAGGACTACAAAGAGACACTAAAGGACTACAAAGAGACACTAAAGGACTACAAAGAGACACTAGAGGACTACAAAGAGACACTAGAGGACTACAAAGAGACACTAAAGGACTACAAAGAGACACTAGAGGACTACAAAGAGACACTAAAGGACTACAAAGAGACACTAGAGGACTACAAAGAGACACTAAAGGACTACAAAGAGACACTAGAGGACTACAAAGAGACACTAGAGGACTACAAAGAGACACTAAAGAACTACAAAGAGACAATAAAGGACTACAAAGAGACACTAAAGAACTACAAAGAGACACTAAAGGACTACAAAGAGACACTAGAGGACTACAAAGAGACACTAGAGGACTACAAAGAGACACTAAAGGACTACAAAGAGACACTAAAGAACTACAAAGAGACACTAGAGGACTACAAAGAGACACTAGAGGACTACAAAGAGACACTAAAGAACTACAAAGAGACACTAAAGGACTACAAAGAGACACTAAAGGACTACAGAGAGACACTAAGGACTACAAAGAGACACTAGAGGACTACAAGAGAACACTAAAGGACTACAAAGAGACACTAGAGGACTACAAAGAGACACTAAAGGACTACAAAGAGACACTAGAGGACTACAAAGAGACACTAAAGGACTACAAAGAGACACTAAAGAACTACAAAGAGACACTAAAGGACTACAAAGAGACACCTAAGGACTTCAAAGACACACTAAAGGACTACAAAGAGACACTAGAGGACTACAAAGAGACACTAAAGGACTACAAAGAGACACTAAAGGACTACAAAGAGACACTAAAGAACTACAAAGAGACACTAAAGGACTACAAAGAGACACTAAAGAACTATAAAGAGACACTAAAGAACTATAAAGAGACACTAAAGGACTACAAAGAGACACTAAAGAACTACAAAGAGACACTAGAGGACTACAAAGAGACACTAAAGGACTACAAAGAGACACTAAAGAACTACAAAGAGACACTAAAGGACTACAAAGAGACACTAAAGGACTACAAAGAGACACTAAAGGACTACAAAGAGACACTAAAGAACTACAAAGAGACACTAAAGGACTACAAAGAGACACTAAAGGACTACAAAGAGACACTAAAGGACTACAAAGAGACACTAAAGGACTACAAAGAGACACTAAAGGACTACAAAGAGACACTAAAGGACTATAAAGAGACACTAAAGGACTACAGAGAGACACTAGAGGACTACAAAGAGACACTAAAGGACTACAAAGAGACACTAAAGGACTACAAAGAGACACTAAAGGACTACAAAGAGACACTAGAGGACTACAAAGAGACACTAAAGAACTACAAAGAGACACTAAAGGACTACAAGAGGACACTAGAGGACTACAAAGAGACACTAGAGGACTACAAAGAGACACTAAAGAACTACAAAGAGACACTAAAGGACTACAAAGAGACACTAAAGAACTACAAAGAGACACTAAAGGACTACAAAGAGACACTAGAGGACTACAAAGAGACACTAAAGAACTACAAAGAGACACTAAAGGACTACAAAGAGACACTAAAGGACTACAAAGAGACACTAGAGGACTACAAAGGAGACACTAGAGGACTACAAAAGAGACACTAGAGGACTACAAAGAGACACTAGAGTACTACAAAGAGACACTAAGACTACAAAGAGACACTAAGAACTACAAAGAGACACTAAAGGACTACAAAACACTAAAGGACTACAAAAACACTAAAGGACTACAAAAACACTAAAGGACTACAAAACACTAAAGGACTACAAAAACACTAAAGGACTACAAAAACACTAAAGGACTACAAAACACTAAAGGACTACAAAGAGACACTAGAGGACTACAAAGAGACACTAAAGAACTACAAAGAGACACTAAAGGACTACAAAGAGACACTAAAGGACTACAAAGAGACACTAAGGACTACAAAGAGACACTAAAGGACTATAAAGAGACACTAGAGGACTACAAAGAGACACTAAAGAACTACAAAGAGACACTAAAGGACTACAAAGAGACACTGAAGGACTACAAAGAGACACTAAAGGACTACAAAGAGACACTAAAGGACTACAAAGGACTACAAAGACCTAAAGGACTATAAGAGACACTAGAGGACTACAAAGAGACACTAAAGAACTACAAAGAGACACTAAAGGACTACAAGAGAGACACTGAGGACTACAAAGAGACACTAGAGAACTACAAAGAGACACTAAGGACTACAAAAGAGACACTAAGGACTACAAAGAGACACTAGAGGACTACAAAGAGACACTAAAGAACTACAAAGAGACACTAAAGGACTACAAAGAGACACTAAAGGACTAACAAGAGACACTAGAGGACTACAAGAGACACTAGAGGAACTACAAAGAGAACACTAAGGGAACTACAAAGAGACACTAAAGGACTACAAAGAGAGACACTAAAGACTACAAAGAGACACTAAAGGACTACAAAGAGACACTAGAGGACTACAAAGAGACACTAGAGGACTACAAATAGACACTAAAGGACTACAAGAGACACTAAAAGGACTACAAAGAGAACACTAAAGGACTACAAAGAGACACTAAAGAACTACAAAGAGACACTAAAGGACTACAAAGAGACACTAGAGGACTACAAAGAGACACTAGAGGACTACAAAGAGACACTAAAGAACTACAAAGAGACACTAAAGAACTACAAAGAGACACTAAAGGACTACAAAGAGACACTAGAGGACTACAGAGAGACACTAGAGGACTACAAAGAGACACTAGAGGACTACAAAGAGACACTAAAGAACTGCAAAGATACACTAAAGAACTACAAAGAGACACTGAAGGACTACAGAGAGACACTAAAGAACTACAAAGAGACACTAGAGGACTACAAAGAGACACTAGAGGACTACAAAGAGACACTAAAGAACTACAAAGAGACACTAAAGGACTACAAAGAGACACTAAAGGACTACAAAGAGACACTAAAGAACTGCAAAGAGACACTAGAGGACTACAAAGAGACACTAGAGGACTACAAAGAGACACTAAAGAACTACAAAGAGACACTAAAGGACTACAAAGAGACACTAAAGGACTAAAAAGAGACACTAAAGAACTGCAAAGAGACACTAGAGGACTACAAAGAGACACTAAAGAACTACAAAGAGACACTAGAGGACTACAGAGAGACACTAAAGAACTACAGAGAGACACTAAAGAACTACAGAGAGACACTAAAGAACTACAAAGAGACACTAAAGAACTACAAAGAGACACTAAAGAACTACAAAGAGACACTAAAGAACTACAAAGAGACACTAAAGAACTACAAAGAGACACTAAAGAACTACAGAGAGACACTAAAGAACTACAAAGAGACACTAAAGAACTACAAAGAGACACTAGAGGACTACAAAGAGACACTAAAGGACTACAAAGAGACACTAAAGAACTGCAAAGAGACACTAGAGGACTACAAAGAGACACTAAAGAACTACAGAGAGACACTAAAGAACTACAGAGAGACACTAAAGAACTACAAAGAGACACTAGAGGACTACAAAGAGACACTAAAGGACTACAAAGAGACACTAAAGAACTGCAAAGAGACACTAGAGGACTACAAAGAGACACTAAAGAACTACAAAGAGACACTAAAGAACTACAGAGAGACACTAAAGAACTACAGAGAGACACTAAAGAACTACAAAGAGACACTAGAGGACTACAAAGAGACACTAAAGGACTAAAAAGAGGCACTAAAGAACTGCAAAGAGACACTAGAGGA